AAGCTTCAATTCAGGGACCTCTTCATCTCGATCTCCAGCACTGTCGTCGTTCTGAAAGATGGCTGCGTAGTCAGTGTGGGAGCACAGAGGGATCCTTGTCACATTCTTGCGCTTAATGATTAGTGGGGAATATAGTGGGGACCCATGAATCGCAATTGTTGGCTCCAAGGCACGTGTTCGATGGCAACAGCGGAATAGGGAATCTCGAAAAGAAGGTATCTGACTTGAGATACTTCATCGTCGTCTTCGCTTCGGTCAGACCCTTCTGGCTCCGAAGCATGATCTTCTCTTCCACGTTGCCCGCAAAAGGTCGGCGACCTCGACGGAATCTTGATAGAAGGTCTTGAGGGTCAGGATCCACAAGAGCCGTGGCCAGGTTGTACACCTTCGAAGCCAAAGCCTTTCGGGTCACCTTGGGACAGTGTGCATTACTTGAATTGAGGGCTCGCTGCATTTGTTCATTTGTATTCCAAACTGTCAAGTCACCTCCATGGGTTTCACCTTTCCCTGCGAACGCCTCACACAAATTCCAAGGATGTTCCGTCCGGAGGTGTGCTCGTCCGGCTCTTTTGCTTGCAAATTCTCAAAGGTGTCCACCACAGTCTTCAATCCTTGGAATCACTTGTGTGTCCGTCGGACCTTTCAAACAAACACGTCGGACATCGTCGGACAACTGCCGAGACTCTTGACTCCGAAATACCCGGCCCTGTCCCAGCATAGGGGTTCAATCTACGCTTCTTCGCCGCCTCCCAATTGATCGCACCATCTCCGGCGACAGAGTAGAAGTACAGCTTCCTCTTCGTCTCTTCCATCATCTTCACCCTCCGCAACTTTGGAATCAGTGTGTCGTCAAGAGGGTTGACCACGATCTCAACTCGTGAGAAGACAAAGTCCCTGACAGCATCGTCCTCGTGCTTCGTCGCCTTGAGGTTGAACTGAGCCAGTTCCTCTTTGTACTCCTCCTCCGAACCAATGCTCAACTTGTTGATCACCTCCAGTCCGGAGTGAAGTTCTCGAGCGGGCTCAACTTCAGCCACGGCTACCTTAGGGAAATCAGTCTCATATTTTGCACGGCAGTCTTGGATTGCCTTCCCAAGCACATCATCCTTGAGGCAGGTAAGAGTGAGAGCTTTCCCAGGAACAGATTCCTTTGCCAGCTTGCACATTGCAACCTCAAACGTGTTGCGTGCTAATCGTGTCAATAAGTTCTTCAAAGGACCAAATGTCACGAAAGTGCTCACGTTGCAAGTTTCCACACCTTCTTTGTCTGATCCAGCTTCTGATCCACCTTCGTCCAAGTCTTGGTCTGGGTCTGTCTTGATAAAAGATCCGTCCGGCGATACGTTCATCTGACCATAGTAAGTATCTTCCATGAATTCTGTGATCAAGCCATCGAACTCCTTAAAGATCGACTTGAGGTGCACGTAAAGGTCACGACGAATCAAGATCGACTTGAGTCGCGTTGCAACATCAAAGTTGCCATACCCGCATCTGAGTGTGCCAAAATCACGACCTTTTCGAATCCCAGCTCTGTGCTCAAGCATGATTCGTGTCACCTTACTTTAGACAAGTTTGTGACCGCCTGATGAAAGACTCAAACAATGTCCGGCATGCATGGTGTTAATCTTCAACTGAGTTGCGATGTATTGGCACTCAAGGTCTCCAAGGTTTAAGCCTGGCGACAGACAACAAACAATGCTGTGGTACCTTCACTTGAACTGCTCACTTATACTGCTGGCAAGGAGCTCACCAATGACCTCAAAGAGGTGACACCATCAAGAAGCGAAGCTCGTCCCATGTGCCCTTCATAAAGATCAAGCGCGGAAGAAGTCTTTGGCATTGTTTGCAGCCGATGGCCCACTCGCACATAGCGATCAACTGTCTCTTGATTCCATTGGCGAATGTTAATCTTTTTCACCTCAGTCAGCTTATTGGTAATTTTCACCATTAATGACTGGAGATTTTCAAATGATGTGTGGCAGAATGTTACAGCAAGGCGCTGCCTCTGCAGGGCTAGTGGATTTGACAAGCTCGGAAAGCAAGGTGCACTTGCCTTTGGCAGACATGCCCATCACGTCCCGCTTTTGCTCCTCCTTCGCAAGTCCCTTGAACTTGTAAGCGAGGAAGTCTGCACCAATCCCAGCTGCAACCTTTGTCAGAGACTCGGAATGTCACCGGACTGGAATTGACTGACTGATGTTTCAAGCAGGCAGCTGTTTTGACTGGAATGTCTTGCAAGCTTCTCTGCGCCCAATAAACAACGTGCTCGGACTGGTTCGACTTGATAAGGCTGAAGAGGAATGCAGCAGCAAAAATCCTAATTTCAATGATACATCAACCAAAAGATGATTAACTGATCATGAAACTTTGCCTTGCAACGCAACTCAAATGTCTTTATCACACTGTACCCGCCAAGCAGCCCAGCGTCACCATTGCAGCGTTGAAGCTTTTTCAGATCCGGGCTTTGGCTCCGATTCACCTCAATTTGTTCCTGAATCACCTGACAAAGGTTGAACGGTGTCTTGTCCCATTCATCAATGGCCACCTTGATACGTCTTGCTTGGAAGCAGCCTGGATACGCAAAACTCTCTAAGTGGAGCTGCGTGATGCTCACTGACCCGATCACTGAGCTACCAGAGTCCAGCATCTCTTGGGTCAATGCAGGACAACAAGCTGCAGAGCTGTGACTGTCTATCACACTGAGACTACTCAGCATTGTGCTCATTTCACTCATCATGTCAGGAGATGCAAGAAACTTGGACCAAGCGTCATCGATTCCCAGGTCCTTAGATGTCACTCAAAGCTGCGAAGCAGTACAAACAGGACATGACAGTAAAAGTTGACAGCTCAAGGTGTATCCAAACAAGAATCCAAGACTGCGGTCTTTGCATGTTTCCGGGCTTCAGCCCATGCTTTGCTAGCATCACTGCTCATGGTGTCAAAGTCCGGTGGATTGATCAAAGACTGCTGTTCGAGCATCAGCGAATCACATTCATTCTGCACACACAAAAATATTGAATCTTTGAATTCTCACTCCCGTCCAATAAGAATTGGGTTACAGAAACCATTGGTGACTCTGGCGTGCAAGGCACGTGGAGATGCTCCACGTGGTTTGCACGCTCGTACCTGGCTCCACGTGCCTTGCACGCTCGTACCTGGGGCGGGCACGTGTTTGCACACTCGTACCTGGGTACGAGCGTGCAAGGCACGTGGAGCATCTCCACGTGCCTTGCACACCAGAGTCATCATTGTTTTCTGTTGTATCATTCTTATGGGACGTAGGAACCCAGGTACGAGCGTGCAAACCTAGTCGAGGTGACTCTTGTGAGACGTAGGAACCCAGGTACGAGCGTGCAAACCTAGTGGAGGTGACTCTTGTGGGACGTAGGAACCCAGGTACGAGCGCGCAAACCTAGTGGAGCTGACTCTTATGGGACGTAGGAACCCAGGTACGAGCGCGCAAACCTAGTGGAGGTGACTCTTGTGGGACGTAGGAACCCAGGTACGAGCGCGCAAACCACGTGGAGGTGACTCTTATGGGACGTAGGAACCCAGGTACGAGCGTGCAAACCTAGTGGAGGTGACTCTTATGGGACGTAGGAACCCAGGTACGAGCGCGCAAACCTAGTGGAGGTGTGACTCTTGTGGGACGTAGGAACCCAGGTACGAGCGTGCAAACGAAGTGGAGGTGACTCTTTGAACAAGCCGACGGACAAGAGTCATGCTCTGAAGAGTTTATGCGACGGACAGGCAGAGTTCCAAACCATATAGCCTGGGCAAAAAGCAATGAGTCCTTAAGACTCTTTCCGACGGACAGGCCGGGGCATACAGGAATGGATGAACTTCCAAACCGACAGACAAGAATCTTAAAGACTTTATCCGACGGACAGGCAGAGTTCCCAACCATAGCCTGGGCAAAAAGCAAGAGTCCTTAAGACTCTTTCCGACGGACAGGACAGGCAGGGGCATAGTCTTAAAGACTTTATCCGACGGACAGGCAGAGTTCCAAACCATAGCCTGGGCAAAGAGCAAGAGTCCTTAAGACTCTTTCCGACGGACAGGACAGGCAGGGGCATACAGATGATGGATGAACTTCCAAACCGACAGACAAGAGTCTTAAAGACTTTATCCGACGGACAGGCAGAGTTCCAAACAATATAGCAATCGACGGACAACTAATGATGTAAACTTGCCGAACATAATGTCCGACGGACAGGCAGAGTTCGAAAGCAAATATTAATTGTGAGCAGCGATCGAACTGACTTCCAAACCGACAGACAATATTGAATAGTTAGAGTGACTCAGATGTCAGATGAATGCGATTTCCCTAAGAATCACTTCACGAAGGAATGGGTCAAATGGGACAGCAAGTGACTTGAATCGACTTTTGGGGCCTTAGGCAACTAGCGGAGTGCCACTTATGTATCACCAAATCTGACTGTCAACTGTCATCAACAAAACTCGCAGTAGCCAACCGCTACAAAAGGCTGCACACAGCTGCAAATGACTCAAAATTCACATCAAGTGTTAAACAGTCGTCTTTTTCTCTATTTCGCGAAACAGCCTTAGATTGTGTTCAGAGCTTGAGAAGAGTTGAACCACACACACACATGAGTTGAAGAAGTTTGACATTGACATGTGACTGTTTGGTTCACGAGGCTAGCCCAAGCTCTTCTTGCCACAAACACATGGCACAAACATCAGAGGGCCCCAACAAAAATTGAAAGGAAGAGCCACGCACTACCACCCAACCTCCTCCGGGCAGCCATCAACTCTGATCAAAAGTCGACCGCTTGCAACATCAGTCCGACGTTTTGTGGACAAGCCCCCAAAGCTCACGTGAAAGTCCAAGTCTGAGTCTATGAGCTGATTCAGAATCGTGGACAAGCCCAAGTCCAAGTCTGAGTCTAGCGGAGCAACTCGGTTCTCAGACCAAAAGCCAATCCACACATGACCCCGATGTCGCTGACATGCATCATGTTCCCAAGAAGGCAGTGGACCTTGGCCGGGGTCAAGCCAGTAAAGTTGGCGTCCGGCGGAATCCCCATCAAGTCCATCTTGTCACCTGCATCCAACTCCTTGCCAACGCTCAGAACCCACGGCCTTGACTTGCGAGCAATCGTAGGACACACACCATCCACGCGCTGCTGGCACCATCCGATGGTCTGGCTGAGGTCCTGACAACATTGCAGGCGATCCAAGCAAGATCTGGCGCGATCCGAGCACGATCCGAGCGCGATCCGAGCACGATCCGCATGCGCTCCAACACCCTGACATAGAAAAGTGACAATTTTGTCAAAGCTTCCAACACAAGTTCAGAGCGGGTCAGTGGCTGGTGCATGAAGGCCATGATGTTCAACAGATTCCTCTCACGCGGGCTGCTGACACCACAATCCTTCTTAGCCATTTCCAAAAGCTGCATGTAGGTCAGTTTGCCTTCTTCATCCTTGACACTCACCTGAGGCAATTTCTTCTTCAAAAACTCCAAGTGCGCATGCCTCCATTTGCAGGCATCACTGTCCCCGGACTTGCACATCTTACAGTGGCAAGGGTGCTTTGGACAGACAGAAAGAGGGTTGAGCTTGCAGCCACACTCCATCGCCTCCATGATCTCATGGCCAATTGGCCTGATTTGGGGGCACAAGCAGGACTCAAAAAAAGGAATCTTGACAGTGACGGCAACAATCAAAGCAACTGACAGTCGGCTGATGCAAACTCCGAGTGACAAGCAGTAGAGCCGGTCCCAGTTTAAATGATAATTCTCAATGTTGAGGAATCTCAGATAACTTGGCGGCACCGGGCATTCTGAACTAATGCTCTTGGAGGTTTGTTCGGCGATCCTTTGAAGCTCGTGAGCATCATGCGATGTGCCCTTGACCCCGACAATGTAGAAGCGTGGACGAAGAATGGGAAATCCATGAGATAGTGGGGAGCGGTTCTTGAAAAGAACAGTCTGGTACTCACCTCCGACCTCAGTCTTAACCTGTTCCCAAGCCACAGTAAGGTCGTCCTTGTCTGAGACCGACGTGCTCCGACTCCCCATAGCCATGACACATTCCAGCACCCATATGGCTGGCAACAATGCTTTCACAGTTTTCAACCCGGCAAGGAATGGCTTGGACTTTTCATCTTTAAAGCCAGCACCCTTCCCACGCCTTGGAATGGACAGTCAGAGTTCGTTTGATGTGGGTGGTGTGTGTGTGTGAGCTTGCTTGATCAATTGACACTCAATTGCAGACATGGCGCATTGACCAGGGGGTACAGGGGTACCCCAACACATACAGGTCTATATTGTTTGGGATGCGCTCCCATTCACCAGTCAGCTCGTTCAAAACATAGATTCCATCTTCCGTCACTTTCCGTTGGAGCATATCCTGCAACAGTGGTATGTGTCAATATGTCAATGTCCGATGGCTGTCATTTCATCAACCTGCAAAACAGAAATTGAGCCCTACCTTGGCAATGATCTGTGGGTGGTGGTTGGTCTTAAGGATATGCCTAGCACTTTCCTCCAGATCAACTGCTCCAACAAGAATGGGCTTGAACTTCACTGGTGAAAGCTCGTTGAAGTGCTTGAACCTTAGTCGGTCAAATCAGCATGCCGTGTTTGGAGAGGCCTACATACATCTGCCAAAAAGAACTCTGACATAGAAATGTGACTGGAAACAATTTCTTCATGGCAAACATCTCAGAGGACATGCCAGCGCAATCAGACCAAATGTGGATAGCCCTCTCTGCTGGCTGTGTTTCTGTAGTGACCCCTTGAGAGAGCAATCGCGCTAATACTTTGCTCCAGGTGTCCTCTTCGTGTCCATGTCGCTCGATGTTGGTCAGAGTCTCCTTCCGTGACGAATTGCAACTAATGGCAGCTTGAGTGACACAAAACGATTGATGGCAGCTTGAGTGGCAAAACTAGTGGCAGCTTGAATTGGTTTTACATTGCAAATGATGGGCGCATTCACACACAACCAGTCCTTTGTTTGTCTCATGGGTCCTTTGTCCGGCGCCTCTTCGGTCTCATCTTCTGAAAGAATTCCACGACCGTGCTGCGGGATAGGCTCCTTGGCACTCGGCCTTTCCTGCAAAGCCACACACACAGTGTGGCAAGAACACACAGGGCGTCTGATGCATTCCAGTGAGCAAAGTTACAGTCCTTTTAATGGTTGTCTGCTTTGTCTGCTTCGTGACTGTTTTTTGTGACCTTGACTTCTGCTTAATGAGAATGATCATAAATGACTCAAGAAGTCTCACATAAATATCATGTGAGGTCAGGGCTTCGCTGATCCTTTCGCACGGGCGGGCCGCTTCATTGCATAAAGCGCCTTGGGATCAGGTGGAGCCAATCTCGTGGTGCTCTCAAAATCACATTTCCACAAGTGGTTCCCCATGACACAGCATTGAAACAAAGCAGCAGTGCAAAGCACAGACCTGGGACTCCTCACAGTCTGTCGGAGATTTTTTCTTGCAAAGTCCCGGTAGGCACCTCTTCAGAATGCATAGAGGCAAAGGTATTGGCGGTTCAATGGTGATGCAAACAAGGCCACAATACTCACGCAATGACACGATGACATAATATGAAGGCAAAGCATTGCAGGTCCATGCCTCTTCAACAGAGTCAGATCCTCGCCCCACCCCCACTTTCCGCTGAGAGCCAACACGACTTACATCACGGATTCCAATTGATGGTCCGGTGGATCAAAGCGCAACTTAGCACAAGTGTCCTTGACACAATGTCCGAGAGAAAGAGAATATGGAGTCGATTGACATGATCATGGACCGATTGGTCTTGATGTGATTCACTGATTGGCAAGAATCAAATGTAACCATGGACAGGCCATGCCTCACCGTCAGCGATTGCAAGGGAAACACCCTGACAGAGTTGATGCAAGTTGGTGAGTCACTTCAATGTAACAGACATCAACAGAACCTGCCATGAATCTTGATATTGCAAAACATATGCGCAAAGAATGGCTTACGTTTTACTCTGACTACTCTGACTTGATTGCAACAATGCCCGCAAAGAAAGACTGAAGTAGTGACCCCTGACTGCCTTCAATCATTGTCACAATGCACACAAAGAAAGACTGACATGACATGTGACTTGCATGACGTGGTCCCAGCCGGCCTTGGAGGAAAACGGTCTTGGCCTCAGACACAAACTCAACATCTTCTACAAGAATGAAAACTGCAGAAATGCAATTGCGCTCACGCAGGGCAGTCGGACAGTTTTCTCTCAGGGCGCTTGAAAAGTCCAGCTTGTCCGGCGGCGTTCACTTGTGAGGCTCGTGCTGTCTTCCTTAGACACTTGCAGAAACGGGGCATACCCAAAATTTCAACAAATGTAACACCAACATGTCAAGAGTGCAGTCCGACGGACAATGTTCAACCCCAAATGCAACCAAGAGGCGAAGCAGCTCAAACTTCTCGTGGATGTGCTTCATCGCCACAGCATTGGGGTTCCTCCACCCTTGGCCCCCCTGGGAGGGGTAATTCCACAAAGAGGCAATGGAGAAATCCCTCACATAGCGCGAACCCTGCTCTGAGTAGTTCCAGAGACCGATGAAGCCCTTGGACAGTTTGACATTGACAACTTGAACAGGAAAACAGAGTCGACTCAAAGAAAACTCACAAGCAAACTCACAGGGAGAAGCAGCAGATGCATCCAAGGAACGGCAATGACGTTCTCTTGGAGCTGCAACCTTTGCAGGTTGCACTGCACGTCCGGCGGGAGCATCGTGATCAATGAGAGGTTGTTCTCTGGAGGCGGTGACAAAGATGATGCGGCCTTCTCCTCATCGGCAGTCTTGTCTTTGTCCTAAGTTGTCAGGTGATGGGCGCGACTTGAATAGAACGTCATGAGTCATGAATGCATTGTTGCTCGTTACTCATTACTGTAAGCCTAGTGGCAATCCATGTCCTCCAATTCTCCTTCGGCTCGACCTTCATGGGCTCTTCAGACTTATGGTCACGGTCACGGTCATAGTCCATCTTGCTGAAGGCTGTATCCCAGTCTTCTTCATCTTCTTCTTCCTCAACGGTCACCGCTTCATGTTCTTCCTTTGGCATCGCCTTCGCCTTCGGCTTCGGCTTGGGTGGGCCCTTCACGGATACGGATGTGGTACGTCCAAGTGGAGATTGACCTTGAAACTCCCTCTTCCACTGGTCCAGCATGTCGCACAGTTCAGTGCCAAACGCAACGGTGAGGTTGTAGGCACAGGCTGCTGCCAACCTGAATAATAATCAGTCAGTGATCAAAAGCAGGACACCTTCATGTGACCACGCGACGATTCCCATTCCATCTGACCCAATGCCATTTCAAGTCAAGGAACCCCCAGTGCGAAGGGAGCCAGTAGCCGCAGCGAGCTTCAATGAGGTACACCAGGATTATCACCACTGCAGCGCTGCGATGATATCCGGCGGAGCCTAAGCAAAAGGATGCAAAGGAGGATATGCTCAGACTCCCCTATGATATAGTGGCAGAACAACCGGGGGAATCTGGGATGGCCTGGGTTGTATTTCCATGGGGAGGGGTATTCCCTTGGGGGCGTGTTTTTGAAATGAGAGAACCATGCCAAAGTTTATAGCGTCGGACAAGTTGTCAACGGACAAATGCAAAGTTAAACAGGATGGCCATGGACTGACATTGAAGTCGAGTTTGAAATCACGACAGGCTCTGAAGTCAAGCTACATACAACCTGCAGCAGGATCCCATGCTTGGTTCCCTTGTGGATCTTGAGATGGCTTTGAACGATGTCCCAAGCAAACTGAACAGCCTGCTTGCAGCCCTCCTGCTTGGCCATGAACTCCAAGAATTTGGAATCTTCCAGGACGTTTCCTCGACAACCAGTAACAATGAATCAGACTCAGACAGCTAACTTAATGACTCAGCTCACAAATGACCCAATCATACCCAATCACCATAAGTCACTTAAAAACACTTGACCAAGGCACCTTTTTTCCAATTTTCATCATCCTCGTCAAGGTCCTCGTTCTCATCATCTGCAGGGTTGTGCTTCATGATCTTTCGCAGGTCAACCATCACTTGTGTGTGTTCGCGTGCTTTGCCTCATGCGCCGCAATATTGAATAGTTAGAGTGACTCAAATGTCAGATGAATGAGATTTCCCTAAGAATCGCTTCACAAAGGAATGGGTCAAAGGTCACAAACAGGTTGGGAC